CTTCCAGGAATCCCTTCAATTAGTCTACTGAAATCTTTTCCAATCAGTCCTAGGGCTCCAACTACAACAGGGATTGTTGATGTTCCCATTTGGCACATTTTCGAGATTTCTATTTCAAGGTCCTTGTATTTTGACAGCTTTTTGAATATCTTCAAAGATACATTGCAGTCAGCAGGGACTGTCATATCAATAAGGAGGCACTTTTTTTGTTTGTGGTCTTTAATAACAATATCTGGGCGGCTGGCTTTGATTGTTCTGTCAGTGTGTATTGTGTAGTCCCATAGAATTGTAACGAGTCCTATCTCCGTAACCGGGTCTAGGTGGTGTTCATATCAGTTTCTTTTATTATTATTATTATTATTATTATTATTTCCATTGAAATCCAAATTACACATTTCCCTCCGGGTCCCAATCAGAGGCGTAAGGTCAGAAATAACATCATTTAAAAAAAATAAAATAAAAAAATACAATCTAAGATCACACACATTTTACACGGAAAAAGCTCTTCATAATGTGTGAGTTGTACTTGTGACGACAATTGTGTATATAATGTAGGGCGAGGTCACGTAGTTGGGTAAAAAACTATTAAAATTTAGAACAGAACCAGGGCTGGGCAAACTCGGACAGCAATCAGCCTGCTTAATGATTTTTGTGGCCTGTAAGACAACAACGGTTTTAATTTTTTTAAATGTCCATTGAGATAATTAAGGGTATTTTTCTGGTTACATGTCGCACAAAATAGTAATTTGTTCCAAACAGGAAAAAACAAGAATAAAGATGGAAAGGATGAATTACCAGGAATCCCTTCAATGAGTCTATCAGAAACTTTTCCAATCAAGCCGAGGGCTACAACTGGAATTATTGATATCTTCACCTGCTACATTTTTTAGATTTTCACTACAAGAACCTTGTATTTTGATAGAAAATCTTCAAGGATGTATTACATTCTGTAGGGACTGCCATGTCAATAAGAAAGCACATCTTGCTTTTGTAGTCTTTGATCACAATGTCTGGCCGATTAATCTTTGATTGTTCTGTCTCTGTGTATTGTAAAGGTCCTTGAAATTGTTATAGGTTCCATCTATGTAACCGGGTCTGGGGGATATTCATATCAGTTTCTTGCAGTTTCATTATTATTATTATTATTATTATTATTATTATTTCCTTTGATTTCTGGCGTTTACACATTTCTTTCCGGGTCCCGCCCAGGAACCTAAGGTTAGAAATGGCATCATGACACTTTCCACTGACAAAGAAAAAAAAATTACATAGATAGAGCCCTTCGAAAAGCGTGGGCTGTACTTGTCAGAACAATTTTTTGTATCTCCTTGAGGCATGGACTTCCAGGAATCCCTTCAATTAATCTACTGCAATCTTTTCCAACTAGTCCTAGGGCTCCTACTACAACAGGAATTGTTGATGTTCCCATATGCCACATTTTCGAGATTTCTATTTCACGGTCCTTGTATTTTGACAACTTTTTGAATATCTTCAAAGATACATTGCAGTCATCAGGGACTGCCATGTCAATAAGGAGGCACCGTTTTTGTTTGTGGTCTTTAATAACAATATCTGGCCGGTTGGCCTTGATTGTTCTGTCAGTGTGTATTGTGTAGTCCCATAGAATTGTAACAGGTCCTATCTCCGTAACCGGGTCTGGGTGGTGTTCATACCAGTTTCTTTCAGTTTCCTTCCCGTAGAAGTTGCAGATTTTCCAGTGCAGATATTGGCCCACTCTGTCATGTCGGGTTTTATATTCAGTGGGTGCCAACACCGTGCAATCTGATACAAGATGATCAACAATCGTTTCTGGATATTTATCACAGAATCTGCATTTTGGGATGACACAATATTTTAGTATATGTGCTTGATAATACCTTGTTAGCAAGCATTGCTCATGCGCAGCAAGGATAAAACCTTCAGTTTCCGCTTTCAACCCTGCACTACGTAGCCACTGATGGATTATTATTATTATTATTATTATTATTATTATTATTATTATTATTATTATTTCCATTGAAATACAAATTACACATTTCCTTCCGGGTCCCAAAAAGAGGCGTAAGGTCAGAAATAGCACGTGTGCTATTTCTGACCTTACGCCTCTGATTAGATTTTTCACTACAAGGTCCTTGTATTTTGATAGAAAACTTTCAAGGATACAATACATTCTGCCATGTCAATAAGAAAGCACATTCTGTTCATGTGGTCGTTAATCACGATGTCTGGGCGATTAGCTTTGATTATTCTGTCTCTGTGTATTGTAAAAATATATAAAAAATTGTTACAGGCCCAAGCTCTTTAACCGGGTCTGGGTGGTGTTTATACCAGTTTCCTACCCGTAAAAGTTGCATATTTTCCTGTGCAGATATTTGCCCACTGCGCCATGATGAGTTTTATATTCAGTTCAGGCTAATACCGTGTAACTTGATACAAGATGGTCAATTGTTTCTGGATATTTAACACAGAATCTGCATTTCATGTTAACACAAGTTTCCAGTATGTGTGCTTGGTAATTTCTAGTTAACAAGCATTGGTCCTGTCCAGCAAGAATAAAAGCTTCAGTTTCAGCTTTTAACCCTGCACTCTGTAGCCACTAATAGGTACGGGGTTTGTCTTACATCAGCTTGTTTGGTACGGGCGGAGTATTGACCGTGAAGCGGTTTATCTTGTCATTGTTTCTGTATCTGGTCGGTTGCATTTGCCTTTGCTTTCTTTTTTTTTAAAGTATTTTGCAGCTTCAATCGGTGTTTGTGCTTTATTTGTATTTCTTCACCCACTTGAAACGCCATCTTGAAATTGTTGGCTTCCTTTATTACTGAATAAAATCGCTTATTAATTTTATGTTCTTTGACAGATCATCATCCAGTCTTTTGTAATTTCTTCTTCTTCTTCTTCTTCTTCTTCTTCTTATTATTATTATTATTATTATTATTATTATTATTTTTATCGTTGTTGTTGTTGCTATCCAGGTTGATCCTTATTTTTTTTCTCTCTCTCTCTATTTTTATTTCTCTTTCTCTCTCTCATAAAATTTGATATATTCTTTAATTTTCGTTTATTCATGTTTCTTTTCTATGATTCTTCTCTATGCTAATTTTAAAACCACCTTGCAGCCATTTTTCTTTTATCCCTTCTTTCCCGCTCCTTCTTACCCTATTTTACTTATATCTTTTACTTACATGTTTCACTTATATATATATATATATATATATATATATATATGTTTAATTTCTGATATTTGTATTTCAGTTTTGTAGTTTCTTCTTCGTCTTCTTCTTCTTCTTCTTCTTCTTCTTCATCATCTTCTAACAACAACAACAACAACAACAACAACAATAATAATAATAATAATAATAATAATAATTATTATTATTATTATTATCATTATTATTATTACTCGCTTAAATACCACCAAAGGTAGCAGTTAAGCTGGATATCAATTTATTAAACAGAATTCTTTAAAGAACTTACCTTATAATTATTAATTATTAATGTACTCGTGCTGTCAAAAATTACGGTATTTGTTAGAAAGATTTAATAGTGAGATGCAATGAAAATGTATTGAGATTTATTCAAGCGGAGATAAAGTATTCACGACTAAAATAAAGGACAAATGAACCGTTTAATTAATCCGTTCCTTTTTGGGTTTTTTTTTTTTTATACATTCAATCGTATCTAGGTTTCATTGATTACTCATTGCCTTTTGCTCAAAATTTTTTTCATATTAAACATTTGATATGTTTAATATAACAGTGAAATGGAAATAACCCTGGGAAGAAAACGATTAGAAACATAACGACAAAGACAGCGACGACAAAGCCTATTTCAAGACCAAGTTGAAACAAGACGATCACTTAAAAGACATAAGTATCTTGAGCCTCACATGAAAGGCTTGAACAAATAAGACTGTAATCTAAGAAACGTGGGAGTAAATGAACTGATTAATTAAGCAGTTTATTTTGTTCGGGGATTAATTTTGTCTAAATGCAAATAAATATTTTATTTTATAGATTATTAAGACGACTAAGGGAAATAATCACTCATAAATTTACTAAGTTGATTTGCCTCCCTTTCCTCTATAGATGGGACAGGAAATATATAAATAAATACACATTGATAATTATTATACGGTTTGATTTGTAAATATATAAAAAAATAATAGAAGTTTATTTGCTATATTCCTAACTCTGACTCCATGTAAAATTTAAAGTTGACTTTTTCTTGTATAGTCAGCTTTCTGCATCCACATGTCTTAGTGGAACTGGACCACTACGAAAGTGTGAAAATCATGAATATCACTAGCTCCTGCCTAAATGTTAAAGTTGATGACCACATTGAACACAGTTTTATGATTATATTTCCTGGCCGATGAGGTCGTTTGAGGCAACAGAGATGCTATCCTACAGAAGGATGCTGAGAATATCATAGAATGAACATGCGGGCAACGAGGAAGTTTTAAGGACAATTGGAAACAAAAAAGACACTTATACTTAGAATCAGAAAGAGACGGTTCAAATTTCTAGGAGACAAAAAACGAAAGAAGGCTTGGAGAATTTGACACTCATAGCGGGACACAAAGAAGCATCGAGTAATCTACTCAACAGGCTGGTGTATATGGAAGGCATAACTTGGGCTTGGGGGATAGTAGGAGAAGAAAAATTACTACAAGGATACTAAGTTACGGAGATGTTTAACTTTTTGGAGACAGAACCTCATTTGGAGTTTCAGTGGCAAGACGGAGCTCTTTCCACAAGCCCTCACTTGGAAAAACACACACACACACACACACACACACACACACACACACACACACACACACACACACACACACACACACACACCCAAAAAAAAACAAAAAAACAAAAAAAAAACAAAAAAACAAAACAAAAAAAAACAAAAAAAAATAAAAAATAACGATGTAAAATCACAGAACGCAGCGTACTATTATAGAAACCGCCATTGAAAGTCCCAGATGTGCAAGAAATGTCATAAGCAATATGATTGGCTGGTAAGAAGGCCAGCCAGCTAATCTCGAGGCTTGTATTATCCAGCCGTCGGATCGGTCCAGTGGTCTTCTTCCTCATTCGACTTTTTGACCGATATATCGGCCCTGTCGTCTGCTAAGAGTTAAGGGCCAAAACCAGCATTGTTTCGATGGACATTTAAAAATAAAATCTGCTGATTATGAAGAAAAATACAAATTTTTGCTTTATTATTCATCACTCCGTCGAAGATTTATTCACTAATTATTTATCTTGTTTTTCTCTCTCCACCCCATTAAGAGCAGATAGGTTCGGTCATCGACCGGTTCACACCCCTCCCGGTTTTTTGGACACGGGTAGAGGTTTAAATATTTTTTCCCGTTTAGAATTGGGTTTCCGGTCCCATCTAAAGTTACTTCTAACATACCCGCCGGAACACTGAATTGTTTGTCACTAATTATTTTCCTCCTCCTCCAATAGGAATAGATAGGATCGCCTATCGCCCAGTTCACACTCCTCCCTGGTCTTTTGAACAGGGGCAGAGGTTTAATCATTGTTTCCCGTTAAGGATTGGGTTTCTGGTCCCTTGTAAAGTCTACTTCAACTCTGTACTTCTAACGTCCCCGGCTGAACACTGAATTGATTGCCACCAATTATTTTCTTCCTCTTCCACCAGGAATAGATAGAATCACCTATCGTCCGGTTCACACTCCTCCATGGTCTTTTCCTGTTTAGGATTGGGTATGTCAAATCTGCGTCAGCTCTATACTTCAAACACCTCCACCTGAACTTTATTCGCTAATTAAATCTTGACCATTTCAAGTCAAGTATTAGCTGTGTGTCTGTGTGGCCTTGGGTGTGTACCTTTCCTGTTATATTGTCCTTTCTTACGCAAATAAAACTCCACAGAGTAACTCTTTACTTTGTGTGGCCATTGCGTCTTATATGGGGTAAATATTCGTAAAAGATGGCATGTATATTGATAGAAAACTTTGACAATGTCAATAAAAATTTGATAAAAGATAAAATAACCTCCGTAAGAAATAGGAAGAAAGATAAATAGTTAATTTGACGAATACATTTTCTTCTTTTAGGTGCAGTATCTCTTCATGCCATTGCTGATCATAGCTCTCCACGTCTTCCTGTCTCTTAGAGCTTTAAGCAACTTTTGATTCTTCATCCTTCCTCTTTAACTTTGTTCTGTCATCTATTCACACACACACACACACATTCCGTAGGATACTCTCTGATTATTTCATGCGTAATGATAGTTTCATTAGTAATGATTATTCCAAAAGTAATGATTATTCCAAAAGAAATGATAGTTTCATTAGTAATGATTACTCCAAAAGTAATGATTATTCCAAAAGAAATGATAGTTTCATTAGTAACTAGCAGTAGAGCCCGGCGTTGCCCGGGGTTTGTAACAGTAAGTGATAGATCAAGTATCGACCATCATAAAGACTGAAAAATAAAATTGATAAAGATTATTGTTTAAGGTTGACGTACACGCATGTCTTAATTAGTTTTTTTTTTTTTTTTTTTTTTTTACGAATTGGTCAAACCCAAACTCAAACAAAAACATTGTTTACAATCGTTATGAGTCTATCGATTGATGAATAGAATTTTATTATAAACAATTGTCTTGTAAATGGTATTTTTAAAGCATTCTGAATGTAAAAATAAAGAAAAAAAATGTGCAAGACTACCTGCCAAAAAAAAAGTGAAATTTTGTGAAATCGGTTGAAAAATGTAGGTAGGCTTTCTCTGTAATCTTTTACAATTTATGATTTTTAATTATTGAATAATACAGTAAAAAAATTACATATTTTGCTTGTGGTGATTCATAATTAGAATTCTGATTTGAATATATTTTCCACTCGTTGTTTCTAATACAAAAAATATTAACTTTATTTGGGTTTATAAATTTATTACAAGATACAGTGTTCTTTCCTTAATAATTATCATCTTCGAAATATTGTTGTTTTTTGTCTATCAGATTTCTTACGTCGGCATTTTTAAATTATTTCTTAATACTTTCTTTTAAATATTGAATTAATTTCAAATAGAACCAATGCCTTATTGATCTGCCTTGTAACAAATTGCAAAGGGAATTGTAAAAACGGCCCTAAAGTACGTGGAATTATCTTTCCCTAAAGATAAAAAATTATCCGATTTTTCGATTCGTACAATCAGTAGAGATCGTTAGATTATTGTTTAGGTTAACGGACACGCATGTCTTAGTTTTTTTTTTTTTTTTTGTTTTTTTTTATGAATTGGTCAAACCCAAACTAAAACAAAAACATTGTTTTCAATCGTTATGATGAGTCCCCTGATTGAATAGAATTAGAATTTTATTATAAACAATTGTGTTGTAAATGGAATTTTTAAAGCATTCTGAATGTATAAATAAAGAAAAAAGTGTGCAAGACAATAAGAAACACTACCTGCCAAAAAAAAAAGTGATGTTTGTTTTATCGGCTGAAAAATGTAAGACATCCGATCCCATATATAAAGGAACACACACACACACACACACACACAAACAACCTGGTTTTTTTAACCCGATGTGAGTTGTCCCCCTTTCATTCTCAGGATGTGTCTTAATCGTGTTTTCAAATTGATTTTGTTAAAAAACACTTGTGTTTTTCTCATTTCGGCGCCGTTAGAACCACCACAAGGTAATTTTATGTAGTCCTTTGAAGTTTTGTTGAAATCGGCAAAAAATGTAGGAAATCCAATCCAATATATAAGCGTTACAGACACACACACACAATCTGCGTTTTATAATAAGTAAGATAATTACTCCAAAGTAATGATTATTCCAAAAGAAATGATAGTTTCATTAGTAATGATTACTCCAAGATTAATGATTATTCCCAAAGAAATGATAGTTTCATTAGTAATGATTACTCCAAAAGTAATGATTATTCCAAAAGAAATGATAGTTTCATTAGTAATAATTACTCCAAAAGTAATGATTATTCCAAAAGAAATGATAGTTTCATGAGTAATGATTACTCCAAAAGTAATGATTATTCCAAATGAAATGATAGTTTCATTAGTAATTATAATAATTATAATTTCATACGTAATGATAGTTTCATAAGTAATGATAATTTGATAAGTAATGATAGTTTCAAATATTATGATAGTTTCATTAGTAATAATAATTTCGTAAGCAATGATAGTTTTATTAGTAATGGTAATTTGATTAGTGATGTTAGTTTCATCAGTAGTGATAGTTTCATTAGTAATTATTACTCCGAAAATAATGATAATTCCAAAAGTAATGATAGTTTCACTAGTAATAATGATTTCGTAAGTAATGATAGTTTCATTAGTAATGGTAATTTCAATTGTAATGATAGTTTCATTAGTAACAATAATTTCATTAGTAATGATAGTGTCATAAGTAATGATTATTCGAAAAGTAATGATTATTACAAAAGTAATGGTACTTTCATTAGTAAATATAATTTCATTAGTAATGACAATTTTATAAGTAATGATAGTTTCATAAGTAATGATATATTCATTAGTAATTATAGTTTCCTAAGTAGATATTTACTTGACCCTCCACTGAGTCAGGTTATGACACAAGGTCAATTTTTAACGTGGGAACCCGAGTGTTTTCACTCGGGCCGCTGGTCTAAGCTGGTATTAGCTAGTCATAACTTGTCCAAGCTGGTCAGAGCTGGTCAAAGCTAGTCATAGCTGATCATAGCTGGTCAGAGCTGGTCAAAGCTAGTCATAGCTGGTCTTGGCTTGTCATAGCTGGTCTTGGCTTGTCATAGCTGGTCCAGCTGTTCAGAGCCGGTCCAAACTAGTCGTAGCCGTGATAACACCAGCACCGGGACGAAGCCTTGGGGCAGGTAATTATAGTTTCATAAGTAACGCCGATACGTTTCATCATTCGATTTTATCAAGGCAAGTTATAATAAACAAAGGCGAAATGTGCAGTTACATGAAATTCAAAATTTTTTAAAAGACGATCCTGCGAAAGTCTCTTTTGAGGATATGAGTAACTTTTTTTTTGACAAAGCGTGGGTTCTTATTTTTTATGTTGGCAATGTGTTAAAGTTCTCAGAATAAATCTGTAGAGATAAACTGAATAAAATAGACAATCGAAAATTAGTACTTAGTCCTTGCAAATAATAGTACTATTATTAAATAGTAGTAATAGTAGGAATAATAGAAAATAGTACTTAAAGCAGAAATAAGTTTTCGTAGGACCGTCTTTTGAAAATTTTTGAATTTCATCTAACTACACAGCATTTCGCCTTTGTTTTATCATCACTTGCCTTAATAAAGTCGGATAACGAAACGCGTCGTCAAGAACAAAGTACTAATTCCCGATTGTCTATTTTATTTAATTTGTCTTCTCTACAGATTTATTCTGTCAACTGTAACAGTCAACATAGAAAAACACACACACACACACACACACACACACACACACACACACACACACACACACACACACACACATATATATATATATATATATATATATATATATATGAATCCAGGAAAGAATGAGCAGCTCTAAAAAGTAGCCAAGAAAAGATTGAGCAGCTCTGACTTAATATCTATCTATCTATATATATATATATATATATATATATATATATATATATATATATATATATATTCTGTCCTGGACATTGGGTTCTACCTGGATTCTATCCTCTTGATAATATATATATATATATATATATATATATATATATTAAAAAGAAGAGAAGAGAGGTGCCGCAAACGTTTTTGGTTGTAATGTGGATTTATTTAGAAAAAAATATTATGCTTTGTTTTACATAATTTTACGACACGTGTTTCTGGTCTCATGACCATCTTCAGGTAAAGCGGAGATTTTACATATTATTAAAATAATTAATTTTTCCTTATGTTGGATTACCAACACGCAAACAGAAAATGTCTCATATCGAGAATATTTAACATTGAACATAAGGAAAATTAATTATTCTTCATTCTTTTAATATACATACTTTTCTCTCGTTGGAACCTCTACAACATATTTATTTTTTTTTTATATATATATATATATATATATATATATATATATATATATATATATATATATATATAAAAGGAAGAGGTTATAGTAGTTCCAGCGAGAGAAAAGTGTGTATATTAAAAGAAGAGAGAAAACCGCAAACGGCTTTGATTGTAACGTGGATTTAAAAAAAAAAAAATATTACGCTTTATTTTCCATAATTTTGCTACACGTATTTCCGGTCTCGCGACCTTCATCAGGTAAAAGCGGAGCTTTTCACATATTATTAAAAAAATAATTAATTTTTTTCCTTTATGTTTTTCGATGTTAAATATTCTCCATATGAGACATTTTCTTTTTTTGTGTTAGTGACCCAAACGTCTTTCTTGAGCAGGTCACAAACACGAATAGCGAAGTTATGGAAAATAAATCATAATATTTAAAAAAAAAAAAATCCACATTACAACGCGGCTTCTCTCTTCTTTTTAATACATACATACATACATACATACATACATATATATATATATATATATATATATATGCTGGAATATTCTGGGACTTGCCAAATCTTATATAGAGGCAACATGCGCATCTCCCTCCGCCTAATTTACGTTCGATTATTACATTCATTCGCTGACAACAATGCTAATAAAGAAAGAACCAGGCAACTTTAAACATTTTGCCGCGTGATTTTAGTCCGCTTTATTTAGAGGCAAACAATTAACCTGGTATTTCCTCGATTTGATAATTTGTGCAAACAAAATGATCAAAATAACGCGATTTTCACCTGGTGCTAATTGATTTTTACACATTTAAGAAAAAAAAAAGAATCTGTGCAGACGCTGGTTGGCCTTATAGACGAGGTAGCTATGGTTGGTGCTAGAAAGTGGACAAAAAGTTTGATTATTATTTTTAAAAACAGGCAAGCCCTCCCCGACTTGGAAGATTGGCGCAAAACAATTTTCCTAATTTCGAACCCTCCTGAATTTGTACCGTTTGTAGTTAAGCTTCATAAATATCCCTTGCTTACAACTCTGTGGAAATGATGCTGTTAAATAGTACTGCAGGCATACGGAAGGCCATTACCTCTCTTTCGTGGAGATAAGTCACGTGACTGCCGCTTAACGATGTCATGCCATACAGTGACGAAAGCGGCAGTCAATTACAGTTTGTTTACGACTGCTTTTTTTAGCCTGGGCCAAAAGGTTGAATCTACATCCCCCAGCAGCTTATAAACATGGTGCCGTTCCACTTTGCGAATATCTTTCCCAGATATAGAAAGAAACTCCAACTCGCTGTCCTCAATTTGGAAAACCCAAGACCCGCCGTTTCCGCTTCGTGGAACATGTCCTCACCTGGGACATAGTAGATGAATTCGGAATCCTAAACGTGGCTTCTCCAGACACAGAACTATCTCCACATTATACGTAAGACCCACCCTTTTGTCTCTTCTTATACTGTGCTTTGTCGTGTAGATATGTGTGATATATTTTTCTCTGCATGGGATACGTGTAGATATGTATACTAGCAGGCTTCGGCCGCTTGCTATCGCTTCGCAAAGTAAGATATATTCGCCACTTGAAATATTTCAAACAAAAATTTTAAATGAACATTTCATTCATAAATTGGCTTGTTATAGTTAAGGAAAGTTTTACAAATAGATGTCAACTTGTTGAAAGCCAAGCAAAATGCAAATTTCAAACACTTTTCTGCACTATTTATATTTTTCTTTGGACTTTGGACTTGGATGTTAGACGATTATTTTCGGCTGACGGACATGTTCTTTGTTCTTGCTTTTTTTATATACGTTTTTCCCCTTTGGTATTGGTTTGATTATTTGCAAATCAAGACACAGGTTTACCGGACGAGTATAATTTCTTATACTTTTAAGATTATTACTACTATATATATATATATATATATATATATATATATATATGTGTGTGTGTGTGTATTACATATGCATATATATTTGCATGTATATATATATATATATATATATATATATATATATATATATATATATATATATATATATATATATATATGTATATATATATATATATACTCTCGACTCTCCCGTCGAATTCGACGTATGAGGGTCAAGCATATCAGTTCCTAGGAACTGAAAGGCCGACACCAGCACATGAGATTTGGTTATAGTGTCGAGGGTTTTGTGCAGAGCCAACCATGCTTTTTGAAGGGCCGAATACAGACTTTTGAAGGGCCGAATACAGTCCCCAAACGACCCTCCGCAGGTTTTGAATTCAGAGTTTTCCTTCTCCTAGTCCAGTTGCCATCCAAGGCTATAGAACCCGGTCTGTCCTACTATTTACACATAGTTGGAGGGATGCCCATAGCTGAAGGGGATTCATACCTTTCCCAAGGGCATTAGCACGTTAGTGAATGTAATGGATTCGGCTGGAATTCGAACTCGGCCCTCCGACACCTCAATCCAAGCTGTGGATGTGCCGTCTAGGTAAGCAAGGTAGGCA